AAACTCTAGAGTGTTTGCGGCCTACGCCACTTATTTATCGGGTGAGACTGTTTTGGTGATGTATTAACTTCACGGGAGGTAGACGACCATCCTTCACACGGACGAAAGAGGGAGTGCTCAAAGAGCGGCTCCCACAGCAAGGAGGGACCCCGTGAATCATCGCGGTGCCCCCTATCAAACGGTTATCTTACCATTCTGCGTGACACAAAATCATCCAGCACATGTATCCAACAGCAATGTTCGCAGACTCACGAACATTGGAAGAGACCTCGAAGCGACACAATCCCAACGGTGAGTCGAAACCGGTGAGTGCGACACGTACAGCCTGACCTTCCGGTTTCATGAGCTGCCGACCGATGGTGCAAGAAGACTACAGAAATCTAAAATTATTGGTGTGGTAGTACCGGTGGTGGTGGTTTACGAGCGAGTACACCTCAAGGGTGAAACGACGGACAATATTTGGTACGAGAGAGAGGCCCGCGATCACACAACACCTGATGAATGCTGTACCTCTCTGGTGATCGCTTAAAGCCTGCGTTGTGCACGGTTTCTACTAGATGCCGTGTAGCGCCGACAGCAAAGGTAACTGTCCTTCAAGGCTCTCCGACCTTAACACAACGGGTGATTGCTCGCCATCCGTGCCCTTGGCGCTGTTTCAACCCGCCACCGCAGACCGAAGACGAAGGTGCTATCACGTACAGCACCCCCAACTCCGAGTGGGAAGCCTTGAGCACGTTGATCTCAGGAAAGGTCATCGAAATGGACATTGTTATAATTTGGTGCCATAAGTATTACTTGCTACCACTGGGTGAATTCGACCATCTGTAGCCTGATTTCAGGCTCGGGTTCTCTTGGTTTTCCCTATTGCCCTTGGGCACCCTCTTTCAATGACTTGGAAGAAGAAATTGTCGCAACGGACGTCGCCTCGCTCTCCGGAGGCACTACGAACAATTGGTTGCATCAGCTCACGTCCACACATTGTCCTCGATGTTTGCTACGTCGTGAACATCCATGGGAAACAACATACATTTTTCGAAGATTATTTGGTTTCTCGGGCGGTTCGATCAAATATCACCTGGCCACCACTCGAATACTCTTCTATCGCAATGAAATACCCATTCGAAGCCACCGCCCTTCAGCGAAGCCCCCCCCCGCCCGTCCCTCCATGCAAACGCACAACATGCAGGGGCACTTTGAGTTTTCGATCTGCGACGCGGCCGAACTCGACGATCCCGATGGCGTGGTGACCCAGGAGTGCTTCAACATGTACCCCTTGACTCGCGCGCTAGATGATGGCGACGCCAGCCCGATAGACCCTGACTACACCGGGCGGTACTACGTGGATCCGCCGTGCCGCGCGAATGAGACCGATTAGTCCTTCAACAAGACGGGCTTGCCGAAGGATGACTCGTACGACCCGTACAGCATCAAGATGCGGTACCTCCTCCCGAACATTGAGGACAGCCACTACATCCTGTGAGCATTCTACTGTGAGTCGCGCGGAGCGTTGGCGTTTGCTTTTTTCGGTAACGCAGAATAAGCGAGGTAGAGATGGCACCGTTCGGGTTTCGGTTTGTGCCTTTCGTTAGCACCGACTGCGGTATGCGGCTGACCAACGCAAGGACATCAGCCATGTAACGTGGGGAGAACGTGAAGTGAGTTTGTACAGCAGGTGTGATCAACGGGGAAAACCGGCGTACTGCATGTAGTTGAAAGGCAACAATCCCGAAATGCTTCGTTGGCCATGATCTTGATTCCTGTGTGACGTTTTGTGTGTGTGTTTTTTTTTTCGCATCGACCGCTCTATCCGACTGACCAATGGAAAATGCGTTCGCGCGTGTGTGCTTCTAAGATGAGAAGCACAGACCGCTGACCAGCTCACCAATCGATTGAGTATTTCTTCGACCAGCATCGGTCGCACCAACCTGCTGACTTATGAAAAGACCCCACTCGTATTGCGGGAAGCAAATACCAACACTGCTGGCTTGCTTCGACGGACTTCTCCGGTGGAGGAGTCGTGGTTTGTATTTGTACATTCTTGAAGCATCAACGGACTACACTGAACCGATTGAGCAATGAAAAAGCGTCCGTTTAGGCTAAGTCTTGCAGCTTGACAAGAAACGTGTTGCGTGTGACAAGAAGCGCGGGTGAGTACGTGGTACACTTCGGACCTCTTTCTTCGATGGAAAGCGTGCGGTGCAATGCCATGGTCTTGTATCGGTTTCTGTCTTCGTTCCGCCTTTCCTCCGGCTGGCACGGTCCTTGCAGCATCAGGTGGGTACTTTCGTTAAGACACCACCGCTGCGTCGAGCACGCGCAACATGTTTAGCCCCCCTGCCCCCCCCCCTCGGTGTTTGCCATCGGGGTTGGGTTTTCGTCGCTTGGCAATGACGTTGTAAAACAAGCCAATTCACTTCGTGAACCCGGCAACCAGGTTACCGGTTATTATTTTCACCTCTGTTTTTTTTTGGCGGTAACCATAATGGTGGTCGAGTAGATCATGTCGTGCGGGGTGGAAAACCATCGCTCCGCGCAAGGGGGATGATCGCACCACGTTGTGTGAAAATGGTCAAGCACCCTCGAGGCATTTACACAGTGCTTACAACTGTCTCTGGAAGTGAAAGCACCAGAAAATATATTGAGTCATACGCAGCTGTCATCCGTACGCAAGGAAGTAAGCACAAGATGCCGAACACCCTTAGCAGGATGCAGCGCACACTTCATGCGACTCGCCGAATACCTCACGGCGCTTCGCGCTTGGTGATGTGAGAGCCTGGTCCGGTGAGAACCCGGCGTGCTCCGTCCCGGCTTTGTAGGGATGCGAGGTCAATGGTCTAACGACAACGGCATGCACGATCATGAGTACACCCCCTCTCCCCCCCCTCCCTCGAGAACGTAGCCGAAGAAAAGGAAAATAGTAGACAAAGACGATGACAACTGCAAGTGTGGATGTGACGCCGGGTGTGAAGACCGGGTTCATTTAGTTGGCTTTTTTCTTTTTGACGAAATGGAGAGGGGAGTGTACGTGACTGAGCTGGGTAGAATTGAAGGGAGGTACATACAGAGACATGATTGAGGCATGTAATAGTCAGGAGAAGAAGGTGCCTGTACTGTGGCGTAAGAAGTCGGCTAAAAAGCAGCACGTGATATCGATAGGATAGACAATGTTTTAGCCACCTTTGGCAAAGTGGTAGGAAGGATAGGGAATCGTTGATCGGTCCTCTAGGAGCAATTTTTCGCCTTTTCGAAGACGCGTAGTCAATGGTGCAGCCGCTACGCAAAACACGAGAACGCCCCGCCCCTCGTCGTTGCTCCTTAACCCTCCTGTCGTTTCAGACACCGGTCACCGCTTCATGTACATCGGCTACGACGAATTCAACCCTCCCTCGTGGCCAAGCAATTGCGCGCCCGAAGAGGAAAACTGGGTTCTCATGTCCAACTCGTACATCGGCTCGTTTGGCCTCCGTGGAACACGCGCCGCCTACCCGGAAGAGTTCTGGAATTGTACCGATACGTCCGCTGGTCTAGCCCCGTCTTCCCTTCGTCGCTCTTGCCTTGGTGGGTGTGTGTTTGACCGCAACGTTGTCTTTTTGTTCCTTCTTTCTCTCTCGCGCGCGCGAGCTCCCTCCCGTATGAGCAAAACGAAGAATGATCTTCTCCTTCTCACCCTTCAACCCTGGCGTGCTTCGACAGCAGAAGCCTTGGTTGGGCAGCATTCTCCCGCCAGTGGCCGGTCGTTCACCTCACCGCCTATACCCAACAATTATTTTGGGAGCACAGTACAACAGGCCTTCATGTCGTATACAAGGGAACGCAGCAGTTCTTTTTTAACGTGATTCCAGCTGGCTGACGACAGCAACAAACGGTGAGTTCCATGTGATTGACGTGTTCAGCCTCACAATTTTTCAACACTCCCGCCCCCCCCAACCTTTCGGTGTCGCCCGCTGTCGCCTACGACCTCCCTGCCGTCCTGCTCTCCTATTCGCTGGCATTCCTACCAACTTCAGATGTCGAGATCACGTCAGGTAGGTGTGTACTGCCTGACCCTGACCCTAACCCTAAGAATGGTTTCTACGTTCACAGGCGACGATTCCGATATTTGTTCGATTTGTATTTGCTCTCTTTCCCTACACGTTCGATGTTTTCGCCCTTTCGAGAAAAGGGAGGGTGCTGGTAGTTTCTTGCGTGCGGCGGTGTCTTCGTTGGTCGATAGCTTCCGTTGTCATGTTTCACACCCATCCCGTGCAGTGCTGATGACACGGTACGTTTTGATGCTACTGCTGTACGCAGAGCACCCCTTTTACCTGAACTCCACCACCACCCCTCACGCTCTTTTTCGTTTCGAAACCCAACGAGTCAACCGAAAGGGGACACAGAGACTGAAGACGACTACGAAGAAGACGATTGTGACGCCCGGGCGACCTTCATTGATCATGGCTGTTTCGCCGACACCAAGACCGAGCGCATCATGACGTGGATATCCCTCAGTGACGCGCAGAAAGACGAGATGACGGGCGAGATAAGTGCTACTTCGGTGTTTGCTTGGTGATCTTGCCTGGATGCAGCACGATACGCAGACTATGATGCTCCAGAGTAGACACATATGTTCCAAGGAGTGTCAATACGCTTGGTGTGGTCACAGGAAACGAGCGGCCGCTCAAGAGAGACATGGGCAGGGATACAATCACAGACAGTAGGACCGAATCGACGCCATTTTGACCACGTTGTAGCTGCGACTGTTTCATTCTGTGCCTAACTGCTTCTTGAGAGGGAAAAGTATGCATACGCCGCTAACCCCCGGAACGAAAAGAGGCGGTGTCCCAGGGCAGCTGAGGGTACTATTTCGTTCAGAGAGCCCTTCTCCATCGTGTTTGTTTCCGAAACGGCCCCCCACGTTCATGAGTACCCCCCACATATTACATGTGATGTCCGCAAACACCTGCGGCAGCCCTGCTATGCAAACTTCAGTCGGGGTTCCTTTTTCCACCTAATATCGGAAACCTCGGGAATTACCCATCCCATCTCCTAAACATTCCCCTCTGCTGCTGCGCCCTGTCTGCCGCTTTACGTGCCTGCCCCGTCGTTCATGCAGCTGTGCATGTACACCTGTACCGAGGGCATACCTTACCAAACGTCTCTAGAAACATTCCACTAAATGTACGCATGGTGCACCCGGCAAGAATCTTTACTCCTGTCCCCCTGAAAGGGTTTCAGCTTGTTGCCTACAAACAGAAATTCCAAGAATCGTGGTTTCCGCAGATGAGGGAATCGAGGCACATTGGCTCACATGCATTGCGCCGAACGCTGTGCAGACGAGATACCCCCTCCTCAACACTGTCATGCTGCATTATTACCCAGTGTAGATTTTTTCTGGCTGCCTTACGGCCCACCGTCACCACCGCCAGGCGACAGTGCCGCAAGAAAATCGGTACCAACGCCGGTCCTCACAGGCAAGATCACAAATGTCATTTGTTGACGACGACGCTATGGGGCGCGGTTAATGCTGGCGTACCGTGTCTCCGCGGCAGCCGCCAAGTCACCATTGGCCAAGCGGAGACTTGCCTGACTGGGGTCGATCAGCAGGAACCTCGATGTCGTGAAAGTACCGGTGTTGCCGTAGGCAAACGAAGCACGGGGGGGCATGTTGTCACTCGATGAGATGGCTTCGAGGTAGTGGTGTTCGGGGCATTTCTGCATGTAAGATCTCCTGACCCTACATGATTGAATACTCGTCGGAATGTAAGAAGCACGTATTAGATTCTGCTTCCCGACGTCGTCAACTTCCTTTCGGGAGTGAGAGTGACATTCCACCACAATCTCGAAGGTAGGCGGTGGGGTAGGGTAAGACGAGTGGGTGGAGCGTACCTCATCGCCACGCAGTGCTCGTCCGGAATAACCATGAGACGGTTGTTTCGCTTGTATTCCGGTCTGCGTTTGGTGATGAAGAAACCGGCGAGAAGGAGAGGCAATTACAAAGTTGACGAACAAACAGGGGAAGCTACAGCTACCCGTGTAGCATTGCACATTCCACAGAGGTTGGTTGACAGCAAAGGCCACGGGGATGAGATCAATGCGAGCAGCATTCTGCCCTCTCGCAACCTGAAGGATGGAAGCTCAGCGTTGGTGGCGCGTTTTTCGCAACGCTTTCGTCAATGGATCAAGGGAGAAGTGCTCATCTCATAAAGACGTACCAGTACGATACACCGCTTGCCTGTTGGAGATACCTACAACGTCCAAGGATGGGCGAAGCGCTACATGCTGTTTTAATGCTTGCCGTCCTCAACGTTTGCGGACGAATCGGGCAGTTTTCAACCAATCAGAAGAGGCGAATCGCCCACGTGGCTTGGTTTTCGAGCCTTCCAAATACCCACCGAGTACAACAAAGCAATTCCTTACCTGTCGATGACTTCATATACAGCAACGATGGCGGGCGTTTTCGGTGCGTTGACGGCGGGTGGGCTCAACCTGTTCCCATGCCCACCGCGACCGCCAGATGCAACGCCTTGCGTCGAAGGGCTTCCAACAAAGGCAGGAGCAGCAGCAGCACTGGTAGCATTTGCAGCCGTGCTGGAAGCAGCGGCATCGGAAGCCTTCGTAGTAGCGCGAGCAAAAACACGAGAAGCAGCACGAGAAATGGCAGCACCTATGCCACGGTTGGCAGCTTTGGGTGTTGCCGCAGTGGTAGGAGTAGCAGCGAAAGCCTTCGTCGACCCCGGCTTGATTCTCACCACTGGCCGATGTACTTCCAACGTGTAGGAAAGCGACGCGCCGAGAGTACGACTCATGTAGATGCCCTTGCCGCAAACAAGCCCGTTCGACATGTACTTCGAGCCTGACGTTGACAAGGGGGTAAGGGTAGAAACGTGGGAAATCGTGCGCGCGTGGGGCATGTCTTCTCGGCACGTACAAGCTTCAGAAGGGGGTCCCTTCCGCTTGCTCGTCCACACTCGCGGTTATTAATGCTGGCACAAACGTACCGCTTGCAGACCTCTAGAGTGAATAGAATGTAAATTTGTTCAGGAATACGCACTCAGCCCGGCAAGTACACACACAAGTACGACAGGGTGAGGATGAATGCAACGGCGATGAGCGTTTGTGCGCACGCCAATGATGTCACCATATAAAGCAAAAGGAGCGGTACTTGGGTGGAAAGGAGAGAGAACGAAACAGCAGACGTTTTTGGCCAGGAACATAAAAAAGTGAAAACAAGTTGTTCCTTAAAAGTAAAGAAGGTTGGGAATAGGTTTGTTTCTTGCTCAAAATGAGTGCTTCGGACGAGGGGATCGGCAGTGGAGAGAGATGGAGGAAGGAAGGAGAGCGGACGCAGCACGTAAGCGGATTTAGAGAAATAGAATGCGCCAACCTCCTGCAAACCGTGCCAGTAAGTCCCATCAATCTCGTAGTCTGTAATACGGGCGTACGCTGTGGTAGCACCTTCCGTAGGGACGATGAGCTGCTAGCTGAGGAACAACCACATGGCCAACATCGTCCCTGGCACCACGCACCTGGACCGACCGTCAGACGAACAACCAACGCAAACCGGGAAAATACGTTCGTGTTATCGTCGTCTGCAGCACCACGGCGGATGGAACACACACCTGACATGTTCTTGATACCCAAGCGAAGGATCCCGTGCCAGTTTCCCGGAGCGCTGCCGTGGAACGCGAAAAGCGACCCTGTCCCGTTCGACGAAGCCGCCGCCTCCCGCTTCATCGCCTGGAAACGCTCCTCTCGCGCTGAGGTGTCTTCACGATTGTTGCGGCACAACCAGAATAATGAAAACCAAATACAGAGAGTTGAAGCAACGACAACGGTGGCAAACGGGCTCGAAGCGTACACGTTGATTTCAGATAGGCCGCAGCGAGCCAAGAGTCTCCAGTCGTCCAGCAACACGGTCAGTTTCCGTCAAAGAGGAGTCCTTTCGGAGGGACAGCGCGACAAACTCACAGAATGTTTGAAAAAACGCTTGGGACAGACACATGAGGCGGAGGCAACTGGAAGACCTGGGTGGAACTATCAACAGCAATATGTAAACGGCAACGGCACCACCGGGTATGCGTGAGATTAGACTTATTTTGGTAGTCAGCGAAGGCGTCACTCTACGGGAAAAATGGGTGGCGTTCGAAAGGGGACTGAACTGCGCACCTGTAAGCACGAACTGCTTCTTGCATGAAACCCCTTCGATAGCTTCAGCTTCCTTCAACAGGTGCAAATGTCCTCCGTGAATCCTGAAAAACAAAGAAGGATGAAGCGTGCGAAGTGTTGTGGAGAGCGTAGCGTGTCAGGACCCATACGTGAAGCCCAACTGCAAACACGAGAAGCAGATGATAGAGTTGACTTGCTAAAAATATTGCAGTTCGCAAACAAGCATGCAAAAAACACCTCAACCAAAACGAGTTCTAATGAAAAAACGAGACAAGACGTTTTTGCAATCCATTCGTTGGGCGAATCACTGTCTGACGCACGCAAGGCCAAGCCATGCTTCTAGCAACAATAGCTCCAATTCAATCACTCACGTCGATAAAAGCCACTCCAGCAGGGGGTACAACAGCGGGTCGATTTTCGACAACGCCTCCTTCAGGGGCGAAACCTCTCCGGAAGGGGCTTCCTTTGCCCCCGTGTCGCTGCCCTCGCCTCCTTTCGTGTCATCGTCGACACCAGCGACAGCCACTCGAGCTCCAAACGGGACCCCGACACCACTGCCAACACCACCACCCACTTGACAACCAAAGGATGACGGCGAGGAAAGCTCTCCGATGCTGTCATTCTGCTTCTCCTCGTTGCCAAGGCTTCCCTCCCCCCTTATGCACCGTTGCACGTCTGCCACGGACGGCAGCGCGTTCAGCACCAGACGCACCTGGGTGTTTCGTGCACTTTCAGGTGTGATCATCAACTTTGTTCTGAAGACGATGTGTGTTGTCCATCGGCGAAGGAAGGCGGGCGCGGAGGCGGGTGGATAGGAGCTCTGTGCTTCTACATGGAGTGGGCCCTCTGTGTAGAAACCGTGGAACCTTCCCCCCCCCCCCCCCCCCCCCCCCCCCCCCCCCCCCCCCCCCCCCCCCCCCCCCCCCCCCCCCCCCCCC